ATCTGTCCTCAATGTACTTTGTATACTCTGAAAGTAATGAAATCCTCTTTTCAGTTCCCTGCTTGATCACAGAGATGCAGAAAGCTATCAGTGTAAAATGTCTTGGAGAGGTGGGAGTATTACTACCCTAAAACACAAGGGGAAAGCCTCGGATGGAGCCCTGAGAGGCTGGACTTGAGCAGAAACCCTTCCCACCTTCTGACCTGAGGAAACATCAGTGAGTGATGATCAAGGGTAGTTTGACATCCCTGCCCACCTATTCTCCATTGCATCCCAAACCTTACCAGCTTCTTCTAATCAGGACAGGTTCAAAAAACCTAGGGACAGGCAAATAGGTACCAGATGCAACCAAATTCCAATCAGAAATATATATCTTGACCATCTTTGGGGAGAAGGTGCTATAAGCATGGCAGGACATTTATCATGCCACGGGCAGGCACACTGACCCCAATCTTAATTGGATCTAGCCTGACTAACCCTCTGGCAGCTCCTTTGAAACAATGCTATAATAACTTGGGAACATGCTCTGAATGTGCTGCTTTGTTATCAGCGAGCAGCTGTTCTGCTGTGATTCACAAATCCTCATCAGATGAGGTGGAGCCCAGCATGGACTGGTGTGGTCAGTTCAGTTATAAAGCACTTGCTCGAGGCCAGGGACTGGGAGAGTTGCAGTCTCAGAGGGTCAGCACTGCAGAGAGAGTTTGATGTTGTAATAAAAAGGCTGTGTTTCAAAGGTACTTTTTTTTTTTTCTTTCTTTTGCTAGAAAGACTGTTTAAGCAGAATTAAAGTTTTCAGTTAATGTATTAGTTCTTTTATTGCTTGTGACCCAGGTTCAAATATTAAAGCTTTGCGTGATTCAATCTAAAGAGACAAAGTACCATGGCTTTATGTGTCACAACTAGGGCTAAAATATCCAGGGAAATTCCACGGCTGGAGAAGTACAGATGTAAGAGTTTTTTCTTAGCTCCAAGACTGTAAAGCAGAAGGTCTTTGAAAATAAGAGTGAGGTTTAAAGCAGCAGAGGAGAGAAGGTTCAGTGTCTATTTTTCTGAGCTGTATAATGAGGAAGATCTCAGCACGTCGCTCATGGAGATGTGTTTTGCTAGTGGGTACCTTTTTTAGTCATACTTTTCCCATACCCTTCTTCCATCTTATCCTCCACTCATTTTGCCAGTGCTGTCTACTGACAACACTGACCTTTGTAGCAACCCAAGAACACAGGGGTGGACCTTACAACATGTAAAGTCAGAAGCAGAGTTCCATGTAAACCTGAAGAGAGATGTTTGAAATACAGCCATGTTATGAATATTATTATTTTATTTTTTTTGCATAATGGTGTGCAGTAAAAAAGATAGTGATAAATTGGAAAAAATAAAAACATGAAAAAATAGATAAATAAAATGAGGCATGTGAGTGCATGTATATATGAACGTATACATAAGCATTCAAAAAATAAACAGGATTTCTGGAAATATGTATATAAGAGAGGGAATTAGAGACAGGAAAAAAAAAATACTGTAAGGAGCAATGTGACAGTCCTGCAGCTTGTCTTACAAAAAAAAAAGATGCATGTTAAAGCTTTGTCTGAGCTTACTCCCAAATCCAGGCATGTCTCCTGTTCATACCATAATCATTTAAGCATGTTTCTAAGAGATGCAGGACTTCAAATTGGAGCTGTTGGATACACTGAGTATGATCCCTTTCAGGACTTATGGTCTTGTTCATACGTTGTGTACCTTATGAGCAGCTGGCTTAATGTATTTCAGTCCAATTGATCAGCAGTCATTGCTGTTTTAGCCTCAACCTGATGGTTAGGTTCACAGCCCAAAAGTGTGTGGTCATGGCATGTAGCAGACCTAGGCCAGCTTTCAAATTCAGTTCTCACTGTGAACAAGTAATTTGGCATTTCCCATTACTGGTGGAAAAAGAAAGAGCTCGTATATCCCAGAAATGTCCCTACTCCCCATTGAAAGCTGTTGACTACAGCAAGCCTGGAGAATGAAATAATCTTCCTGAATGTCTCTGTCATGCCCCTGACCCTGAATTCTGCCTAAAACATCACATCTTGCCAACAGAGACTAAGCTAGACTAAGGGAATTATGGAGATGTTGGACAAATTCTTCTGGCTGTAGTATGTTGCCTTCTGAAAAGCCAGATGGAAATATTTGTGGAGAAGTGTGGCCACGGAGAAAAACTTATCTTCCAGGTAATCAGATACCAAGGAAAACATCAGCATATAGCTATCTGTCATGCCTGGTTAAAATGTGAAATAAGTAACAGTGGGACACATCATCAGACAAGAGGCCAAAGAATAACAGGAGAAGTGTGTCGCCTCTCATGCTGAGAAAACAAGCTGAACCCAGCCTCTTGGTATGTTTAAATCACAGCGTTTCCATGCAGAGGCAAGTATGAACTGTTCCCTTGAAAATCTTTAGTACAGCAATCACATAGTCCTTCCACCTCCTCATATTAAAGATATTTTCCCTTCCATAGCTGAGGGTCAAAAGTTTAGTGAAATTAACTTGCTGGAACATTGTTCTTTTATTTATGGGAGAAGCTGTGGTGCTTATGTTCCAGACGTAACTGCTGGAGCACATAGCTGCGTTCACATCTAGCAAGGCTGTAGTCCTGTTCTTTGTTGCCCTATTTGCAAGGAAACGCAGGGAGAGTGAACAAGCAGAGCCCCTGTATTGGATATTGCAGTGTTACAGCCATAAGTCAAGCTTATTCTCAAGGCTGGACTTCTCTATCACCTGTGTTATTAATGCTGAAGCTTAGTCTAAGGGCACAAAACCTAGAGCTCTGTTAAATGAGGCATTGCTGAGAGTATTAAGTCCATTGCAACAGCCTGAATTCATGCAGATCTGATCAAATCCAGGAGCAGAGGAAATATTCTGATAACTCTAAAATCATTCTTTATGAAATTAACCTAATGACATCTACAGAACTGAGCACTTAGGGGTATCGTGAGGGCCAACTTTGGCACATCAGTGATCAGCATCTGCACTGCATGTGGATGATGTCTCAAGAAACAAGTTCTCCAGAAAGCACCTTTCTCTTCCAATGCATCTCAACAATGTTCCTTGGTTTCTTTTGCCTGGTCTTCCTAGGTATCCTACACTTGCCAAGGCACTAGAAATGCTAGGGAAAGGAAGATGGGAATATTATTTTTTTTCCTTTATTTTCATGACAAAGAAGTATAGATTTAGGGGTGCATTTGTGGTGTTTCTTTCATCAGACCTGCTAATTTCTTCAGGTAAACTTTGAGCTACTTTGGGCAAAATAGGCACCAGTTTTAAAGCTAATGAACAAAATGGACAATGTCTTGTTCAGAATAAGAGGGAGAAAATGGACCATTTAAGAAGTTCTTGTCATCATGAGGCTTTTTGGAGGCTGATGAGGATATCTGCAGATACAGAGCATCTTCTGTAAGGATTGATCAGGATAGACTAGCTTTCTTCATGGATATCAGCTTATTGAATCAGGCTCTGTGGAAGGAATATCTGTAAGTTGTGAACTATGAGGCCCATAGCAAACACATCTCAAGGAGGCCAACGCTGCTGTGTTGGCCTATTATCTATCTATCTATCTATCTATCTATCTATATCTATAGGGATAATGTGAATTGTCCTTGTCCGTGTAATGGGTTTCAATGTATTAAGGGATCTGTCTTGTTTAAAATTCCTTGTAAAATATAAGAAGGTGCCTAAGACTATAAGGGGTTTTGTGAAACAGCTGACAGATCCTACTTCTACAGATAAGTACTCTTCATAAAGTACTTGGGAACTGTTTTTAAAAATTTATAGAACTTTTATTTCAAAAGGAGACATTTAGAAGCAGAGACCTTTCTTTTCTTTCTTGAAGAATTCTTTCTTGACGAATTTCCACTTCTTCATAAAATGCCCTCTATGTGTCCATCACTCTTACTGGTGACAGGGTTCACTGAAGGAGGTGGTTTATGTATGGAGGACTCACGAAAGCACTGTTCCCAGCCTTATTTGAATGAAGTAGCTCAAATGAAAGAGAATATGACCCTGCTGCATCTTGGCAAACCAAATCAACAGAGGACTTTTATCAAACGTGATGCTTTCTGCACCAGAACACCTCAAATTTCCCCCAGTTTTGAGCTTCTAGCAAAATCATCCTCGCTGCTGCAGCATTTATTCAGGTTTATTTCCATATGATGTGTTGCATTCAGTAATGGTGTCTCTTCTTTATCTCTTCGAGGACCATCAATTAAGAGGCCAATTGAATCCATGAGATTCCTCTTGCTTTTAACAGCTGCTCATTCAAAAATCTCCTGTGGGTAAAAGGCAGCAGAAAGCTTTTTCTTCTCACTTTTTTTCAGCAGCTAGTCATATAAAGGAGGGATGTGGAAAAGGAAATTCATAAATATGAGGAGCTGGAGCCAAGTATTGACCCATCTAAGGCCACTGCTTTCAATTCATATTTTACCAGAGGATTATTTCAACTGCTTCTTATGCGACCCAGCTTCTCATTGTGCGAATGATTTAGCCCAAGAGGCTATTTTAGATGACATTTATTATTTACATTTTTATATCCCTTTGGAGATTTCTTTCCTTTGCACAGTGCCCCCACATCTTTCTTTTAATTTCTATCCCAGCTCTCTCGCTGTGTTGTATCATCATGGTTGTGAGAGCCGGAGCTGAGGAATATACTCAAGACCAGTGTTCTGAGTACTGGGGAAGGAAATAAAATAATGGAATAGCTCATCTGTTGAAATTGTAGCTATAACCAGGTGTACTAAAATCTGCACAGTGTTCACCATTGAATTATCTTGCATTTTCATGTAGAATTTCCTCCCAAAGGGCTTTATAGTAAAAAATGATTTATCAAGCAACACTCATCCCTTATTTAGTCATGATGAAATAACATTTTTCTGGACGGTATTTTCACAATAACATAAGACCACACTATTCTTAGCACACAGCCAATTTTGCCTTATTTATTGTGCATCTCACAAGTCCTTTTGCATTCCCACAGGTACAGATAGCAGTATTCATTGTAGCTCAGCAATGGCTTTTGCAAGGAGTAAGAATATGCAGGTATGGAAAAGCAGAGTTATTTATGAGTAAATCCCATTTATAATTTAATGCAAAATCATTTTCTCAATCTATTAAATATATTAATTAGATATCTCCAAATCTTCCTGTCCTTTCCAGGAGGAACCAATGCGTCTCAATATTCTTGAGAGAGAAAAGATCTCCTGTTCTTTGCCTGAGTGGAGAAGTCACTGGAGAGCTGTAAGAATCATCTGAAATCTGCCTGACTGATGGATTTCAGCCAAGGCAAACAGTTTTACCTGGGTTGTTCTGGAAGACCAAGTTGACCTTTTTTTAAATTATTATTATTATTATTATTTATTTACCATTAATTTGTGATGCCATTTGCACCTACAGAGCACACTTGGTTGTCCAAAGAGAAATTCAGTCTCCTACATCTTCCACCTGAATCTTTCTTAATACTCCTGAAAAACAGCTACCTGATACCAAGACTCATATTGGTAAAAGTGAGTTTAACATTTGCTAAAGTAAACTAAATACAGGACATGCTGTCACTCATTTTAACAACAAATTCTCAAGAAATTAAAGTGCCTCACTCATCCAATTGTGGAAAAGGAGACATTATATATAAAATAGTCTACTTTTCTTGTGTTGTTGTCAGAATTGAACATTTCTTCTGGAAACACTCTCATTTTCAGGATTTCTGTATAACTTGGTATAGCTGTAAAGACTAGAATTTTTAAATAATAATTTGGAAATCTGCAGCACCTTCTAGCTAAAGATACTTTGGTAATCTATACTCCTAGCTAGAAATCTTTTTCAGTGAGAAACATAAAGATATTGAGGGTGGGTTGTCAATCATGCACTTTGCCACCCCTGCAGTTCATGCTGGGACAGCAAGAGAGAAGAGTTTCTATTTGCAGTTGAAAAAGGAAAAGTAAAAGAAAGCTGGAGATGAATTTAAGGAAAACAGATTTGGCATGATAACCCAAGGCCATTCCAGAAGGGCTTTCCAGAGCCAAGAACAGAGTCCAGTGGGCAAAGCCTGAGCCCATGACATCAAAGAGTATTGTGATACTGATTTTTTATCTGACCAAGCTTGCACAGACTTTGCAAGATTTGACGTCTTGGGTTTGTAGACAATTAATAACCCCTCATCTGTCTAACTGATTTCCTTTTCTCACAGATTGGGGCACGTGCCTGGCGATGAAACATTTGTGCTCTGAGAAGGGGACCGAGTTCACTTTTTCCCTTTGCCAGTGCATGAATGAACATTACAATATACAAGATATCTCAAGTTCAGACATCCAATATTTTGTGCAACATTAGGTGTGTTCAACGTCTACCCCTAAGTGATAATTAATTCCCAGAGACAATAAATACTGTTTGGAGACACCTGAAGGGTGAGAGAGGAGCCTCTTTGGCATTGACATTGAGATGCTTTTTAAGTCTGTAGGTCTGAATTGTCAGCGAGCACAGCCTGACCCAGCAGGGATGCAGTGAGGGCTTGTGTCTGCTAGATCACATCATGAAAAATTGATTGTGGCTTCATTGGCATTTTCTTGAAAAATAAATAAATATGTATATACACAACTTTTGTTGCTGTTTGGAATGAAAAAAAAAACTAACAAAAAAAAATTGTCAGATCCAAAGGAAATGTTTCATGCTAGTCAGTGCTTTGAACTGTGGATATAATATTTCAGCTAAGCTTTTTTTTTCTTTTTTTTTTTTTCTTGTAAGATGAAGAAAATTTAGAAATCAGAGTCTGTTTCAAAACCTGAATAGCTGTTTCATATAGGAAAAAATAGAAAATTAATATTCTGCCGTTTCAATTCTCACTGTTCTTTTTTTTTTTTTTTTCCACCTAAACTTCAAACAACCTTTGGACTCTTGATTAGTTTGTGAACCCTAGGTTATTGTCACCAGTTTAAGAAGCAAACTTAGCAAGGAAAAGTAACAGGAGCGTTCATATGCTTGATAACACAATTCTTCAGAATCATGCAAGGGACAGTTCTCATCTCCTAATATCGTCAGGCTAATCCCAGTCCAATACAGAAGCTTTGGCAAATATAATTCAGAAGCTTTTCAGCCTGACACAGAGTGGAAACACACACGTCCTCACAATCGGTGCTGCCAGCTGCAGAATACCACTGCCGTTTTGACATCTCAGCCTCGTATGAAGGCACTGATAGACTCTGCAAGGACGGTGCTTTGAAAATGGTAAATGGCACATTAAACTCTGTTCTGATTCCTTAGCTCCCAGTGATAACAAGCATTCACCAGCAAATACCAGCTATAAAGATGCAGCACAACATGCGCCGGGAAGTTATAGACAGGAAAATCAATCATCTCAGATGACATGAATGCAAAACTAGCCCAAGTTGTAAAAGCCAGAACTTCTGTTCTTGTGCCTGAAATGTCCTGGCAGAAGATAAAGATCTTATCACTTGCTGAAATGAAAAGTGCAACTTTTTAAGAACATATATCTGAACCCACAGAAAAGATGCCAGCATTCATTTTTGGATGAGGGAATGCAGTATAAAAAAAAAAAAAATAAGAAAGAGAGAGAGAAAGATGCAGATATTGTATGTTTAGAAGTAAATGCAGTAATTCACTATTTTGTGACTGGTAAATTCAAAGTATCACCACTACTGGTAATGTTTGTAGGGCCCGTACTTAATGCAAGATGCATAAAAGAAAAATGTCAAGCCTTCCTAGACTCTGCTGAATGGCTCAGTAACCTCAGTGTGAATTTTTAATTTGCTGTTGCTTTTTAAAATGGCACAGACAGGAGATAGTGAGGGAGAGTGCTCAGAGGGATAGTTAGCTGGTGGAATGGGCTAGTGGGGAAGATGATTGAACAATCTCATTGTGCTGAAGTTTTACTGACATTTCTTTCTACAGAAGGCAGCCTGCCATCTCAGCATTTCTTCTCCTATTCTTGAAGTGCCTTATCTTCCCAGCCATGTGTTCATATGCTTTGTTAATGAGCGTGATATATAATACATTTCACACAGAGCCAATGCTTACCTGATTTACAAAGGATGGGGTGAAAACCTGCCTTTGAGATGGGATGTGAATCCCAATGTAACAGGATTTTCTGCAAATGTTATATAGTTGTAAATAATGGAGGAGGGATAAGAATAGACAAGTCAAGCCAATACCTGAGATGCATCTTAATTACCCCTCTTGGCACAAGCATGAAGCTATGCACATTGCTTCTAGTCAGTTCAGATGGGCAGGTATTTTTAATGCTTTTGGCTCAATTTATATGAGAGATGGTAGTTGAGGATTATTGTTTCATCAGTCAGCCTGTCCCATCTGAGTTGCGCTAACATAAGAGGAAAGACCAGTCCCATCTCACTGGAACCTTAGTTACATCTTAAACATCTTTCAGACCTAAGCTGGCTGTGTTGTAAAACCTAGCGAAAAGTGGACTTCCCTGAGCTTACCAAAGAAAGAGGTATTCAGCTATATTCAAACCCTGAGGTAGGTTTATAGATCCTGATAGGGGGAAATGGGCTTCCTTCATCCTGTTACTCCATTTCACTTAAGCTTTTATTATTATTATTACTAATTTAGAAACCTGTGTCTAGAGCCTGTTGAAATCACTGTTGTATTCACCATTTGAAACGTAAGATAACCCTCAGTAATTAAGAATCCTAGAGGATCTGTTTGATCCTTGATTTTTTAGTTCTATCTGCTTTTCTAAGAGCTCAAAATGAAATTTTAGAAGACAGACCAATTTGAAGCATAGAGCTACCATTTCCCACTTGATTACAAAAGATTTTGTCTACCACAGCAAACAGTGTTCTCCTTTCCACTAAGAAAATGAGATATTGACTTTTGACACCAAGAGATATATATTCAGCTGTTTGCTTATTGATAGTAACACGTGCACTTTTTTGACTACAAGCCGGTAATTCAATTTCATTGACTTACAACAGCACAAGACCTTGCTGAACACCTGCTGGGGTGACTCTGAGAGAAAGAGCAATGGGAGATCTCGGCACCTTTCTACCTCGCCTTGGTCCTTTCTTCCAGTGCCAGGCATTTCTCTGTGCATCAGCTAGGTCTTTTTATGAATTAGGGCATAATCTGTCCTACTCAATTTGTATTTGATTCTTCAAGTAAAAATTCCTGGAGGTAGGTCCTAGTTGTTGCCATGTCTGCTTTTGATTAGTTGGTGATGGAGTCCACTGCATCATAGAGCTGTAGAATCATAGAGTCCGTGAATCATAGAATAGAATGGGTTGGGTTGGACGGGACCTCAAAGATCACCTAGTTCCTACCCCCTGCCTTGAGCAGGGACACTTCCAAACTGGAGGAGAGATGGCTTCGGGACGGACCTCACAGCAGTCCCCTGCAGGGATGTTGTTGAGATGCACAGAAGGAGGACAAGGCAGTAGACCCAAGTGGAAATGAAAGATTCAGCCTGGATATAAGGACAAACTTTTCCATGATGAGAAACAGGAATAGGTGGCCCTACAGGGGTTGCAACCTTGGAGGTTTTCAATAGCTGACTGAATAATGACTGGGACAACCTGGTATGACCTCATAGATGACCCTGCTTGGAGAAAGAGGTTGGGCTGGGGGCCTTGAAAGGTGCTTTCCATCCCAATTAATCATCCTGTTGTCCTTCTATAACCAGTGGGGAATCATGGGTTTGAAAACTATGACCAAAATAACCCCCAAACAAGAAAAACACAAAACAAGTTTTAAGAACTCAAGATCTTTTCTGCTATTCATGACAGTGGGTAGTCCTTGTTTAGGAACCAAGCTCTCAGTTGCATTAGGGTTTGCTGAGGTTGAGATAAAAACAAATGATAGCTATTGAAAGCTGAATTGCTCAAACTTGCTATGATTCAGTCAACATCTTTTTTTTGACAAAGTAGGTATTCAGTCAACAAATGGGACTTCATTTTTCTGAGAATTGTTTGTAGAAGCATATAGACCATCTTTTTCACCAACATAAGCCTGAGCTCTTCACGTAAGACTCATCTCTGTTATAGGATGGTTTGGCACTTCTTTCAAGGTTGTTGCAATACAAGGCCCCTAAATATAGAGCATGAATAGATGTGTCTTGATAATGAAGTTTACTAATATCCAGTGTCTCCAAATGTTAGCTTTTCCAGGAAGCAAAAATTCAGAACTGTACAGAGTCACAGTTCAGTGTCAGAATCAAAAAGGGAAGTGGGTGTGATTCAGCTGGGTTGGTACAGAACTGAAAGTTCAGGTTTTACTTTTATGTATTTTTTTTCACTTATAATTGAATGTTTTGCTTCAGTTTCAGGTTGCTAAAGTCTTTTGGAAAGTTTTTCCAATTGTTTTTAGAGAGGAGGAATCAAACAATTCTACCACAGGAGTTAGGTAGATACTCTCCCAAATTTTCAATTTCTAATTTATTCTACACTATGCATAATTTCTTTTATATATTGCTTGAAAAGAGTGACTTAATTAAACTCAATTTAGAGAATATTTTGGTCCCTTTGGAGGTTTGTTTATTTATTTATTTATTTATTTACTGGGAGGACTACAACAAACAAGTAAACAATCGGTTTAGATTTAGCCAGGAAGTGTTTGCCTGAAAAGATGTGCTGAAAGCTCTGTTTGAAATAAGCCTTGTCCAGTCATTTTGTCTAACT